CTTTTTGAGACAGGGTCTCCCTGTAGCCCTAGCTGGCCTTGAACTCAGAGATCTGCCTGCCCCTCTGTCTCCAGAGTGCTGGGATTAAAGGTATGCGCCACCATACATGGCCCTAAACTACTTTCAACTTCAGAATTCTCATTTGACTCTTATAATTCCTCTCTTTAATGACGTTCTCCATTTTGTACAGCAGTACTATAGTGCCTTCCTTTACTTCCTTGGCTGTTTTTCTTGCTCCTTAAGTTCTGGGAATATAGTTATAATGGCTAGTGTATAACCATGTGCATGTGTATAGTAATGTATGTGTACCCATGTATATGCAAGTATACATGTAGAGGCCAGAGGTTGACATCAGGTATCTTCCTCAATTGCTCTCCACTTATCTCCAGTGAGATAAGATCTCTCACTGAACCTGGAGCTCAATAATTCAGCTAGACTAGCTAGCCAGCAAGCTCCAGAGCCTGTCTCCATCTTCCATCCAGCACAGCTTTTACACAGGTGCTAGGATCTAAACTCAGGTTCTCATACTTTCATGGCAAGTACTTAACGAACATGAGCTATCTCCCTTAAAGCCTTTCCTGTTGAATCTAACCCCAGTTCATACTCACAGGCATTTCTGTAGCTAGTTTTCCTGCCCCTGAATCACTCTCCTTTTGGGCCTCCCTTATATGGGCCATACTTTCCTGTTCCTTTGCATGTCTCATAGTTTTGATATTTTGGACATTTGAGATAATATATTGTAGTGACTCTGGGTACTAGTACCCTCTCTCCAGGATTTTTTTTTTCTTTTTGGGTGGGGGGAGGCAGTGCTAGAGCTTTGCACATACTAAACAGCACTCTGTCACTGAGCTGTATACCCTTAATCCTGAAGGTTTTGGGTTTTTTTTTAAGTATTTTAATTATTATTTTTATTTTAGGTCATGAGTGTATTGCCTGCATGTGTGTAAGTGCACACGTGTCATACAACACTCAGAAGGCTTTGGATTCCCTGGAACTGGAGTTACAGATGGCTGTTAGCCACCATATGGGTGCTGGGAATTGAACCCTGGTCCTCTGCAAGAAGAGCCAGTGCTCTTAACCACCACTAAGCCCCCTAGTCCTGAGTTTTTGAGACAAGTCTTACTATGTAGTTATGTAACTCAGTCTGGTCTTAAACTCTCCATCTTCCTGTCTCCCTCCTAAATGCTGAGATAGACACAGACCATCATGCTCATCTCTAGGACTTACTATATGCTTATTAGTCTGGTGACTGATTTGATGACTTTGTTGTTGTTGATTTGCTTTTGGTCAGATGATTTGCGTGAAATCTATTTGTCCCACACAGTATTTAAGGCCTACGATGTGTCTTCTCAGGAAGGTGTACCCTTAGGTAGTCACCTTGGATAAAGTAGCTTTAGTCTTTCTTTTCCATGACCACATCTAGCTGTTAAATGTTCTAATGCTTTTCTAATATTTGTAACAATGACCCAAAGCACAATTTGCTTTATGAACTATTCTCCAAATTATGGCTATGCTTCTAAGGTGAATGTTGGTATTTATTCTGACTCCAACTGGGTTCTTCCCAACTATATTTTTCCCTGTATGTCTTACAAACTGGAAGACCTGCAGTCTACATTGTATCTTCATAAAATCCAATCTCTCAGGCCAGATGTGGTGGCGCACACCTATAGTCCCAGCACTTCAGAAGCAGAGGCAGGCGGATCTCTGTTGAGTTCCAGGCCAGCCTGGTCTACATAGTGAGTTCCAGGCCAGCTAGAGCTACAGGGAGACCCTATTTAAAAAAAAAAAAAAAAATCCAATCTCTCACTAAAATCTTCTAGTGTTCTCAAGAGTGCCCTTGGGCACAAACTTTCCCATTGTGTTGCCTGTAAAGTTATATCTTTGGAGGGTGGGGGGAAGATTAGGAACAAACTGGATGGGTTGGATTGGGTTTGATTTGGTATTGGTGCTAGGGATTGAACCTAGGACCATCTTCATGTGCTCTAGGAGAGCTACACCCCCAATCAGGAACTGTTTTGAGGTCCACTCAGCTCTGCTCTTCCCCCCTCCTCAGGCAAAAATCTGAGCCAAGATTCTGGAAATGGGGAAGGGGTCAATGGGAAACCTCTCTGAGTGATCCCCTCCCCCACCAATTCTAGGACTGAGTTCCTGGTGGAAAGGGAACACACTGGGCTAAGGTTTCAATTTGCCTTCCCTGCAGTATAATAGCCACTTCACAAGTCAAGAATGGAACAAGAGTGGTTAGAGCCTAAATTATCTTAGTGTGCCAAAGCCCTAGTCATAAAGTAGGGATTGAACAGTAAAAGAACACCCTGGGCCTAGAGAGATAGCTCAGTGGTTAAGAGTACTGTCTGCTCTTGCAGAGGACCCAGGTTCTGTTCCAGGTACTCACATGGCAGCTAATAACCTTCTGTAACTCCAGTTCCAGGGGAATTCAATGCCCTCTTCTGACCTCCACAGGCATAGTGCGACATGGGTGCAATTACATACGTGCAGGCAATACACTCACACACAAAAAATAAAAATGATATTTTTTAAAAAAGAAAGAGACCAGCATGGTAGCCCATGCCTTTAATCCCAGCACTTGGGAGACAGAGGCAGGCAGAGCTCTGTTGAGTTCCAGGCCAGCCTGGTTTACATAGCAAGTTCCAGGCTAGCCGGGGCTACATGGAGACCCTGTCTCAAAAAGACCAAAAAAGTTTAATAAAATAAAAAGAAAAAGGAAAAACCCCATTTCTCCGGTGCACTTACCCTGGACTTAGCCTCAGCAACAACTGGTGGAATCTCTACCCTTGAAGTGGGAATGAAGAAAGAAGACTCAGTAGTCTTGGTTCAAATACTACTGCCTCTCTCCTTATTAAATTTTCATTGATTTCTTGATTTGTCTTCATTTGCTCTTCATCCTTGAACTATTTCCAAAGGATATAAAGAGTTGTCTTTAAAATAATTTTCATCAGTTTGGGAGAATGGGTAAATGGAGTGCCTCACAAGCTGGCGAGCAATCCCATCTAAGACTACTTCTGTGCTATACCAGCAAAGTTGGAGAGCTGAGTAGTTCCAATGGCTTGCAAAGCTGAATGACTGACTATATATGCCCCTGTCCAGAAACAATTTGACAACTCCTGACATAGAATCCCTGCAACCAATGCTGATGGCCCATGAACCACACTTTGAGTAGCAAGGACTAAATTGCTTGAGAATCATATCATATTGACCATGAGCTTAGTCCAAAATCTTCTGAGGTACTCTGCATATCTAAGAAGTGAAAATTAAGTGCACCCCCACACACACTTTTCAAGAGACGTTCTTGCCACATTATATAGCCCAGGATAGCCTTGAACTGTGACAAATCCTCTGGACTCAGTCTCCTAAGTGCTGGGTTTACACATGTATGCTACCACACTTGGCCCAGTGTTTCACCAAGATGTGGTGGGGTGGCAGAGATGATTTCTCTCAGCCATCAAACAAACAATCCCTTTCTGCATCAGGCACTAGTTGAATGTCCTTTAATTCAATTCTGACACAGTCTACCTAGAGGTGGTGTCAGATCCTACAGGAGAAACGATCAGTCACACAAGATGACTGCCCCCCATTTCCTATGTCCAATCACAGGCTTCTAAACTGAGTTCCCACAACCCCTAGAACTTAGGGAAAACATTTATGTTTACTTGTTTATTATCAGGGACATTACAAGAGCCAGAAATGAAAAAAAAAGAGTAGAAGGTAAGGCACATAGGAAAGTGTACAGAGTTTCTATGTCCACTCCTTAGTTAAGAGCGTATGTTCAAAAATCTGGAAGCTCTCTAAAAACTGTCCTTTTGGGGGTTTATGGAGGCTTCCTTTTTTCTAAAATTTTATTTATTATTTTTTTTATTGTATGTGTATGTGTGTATTGTCTGCATGTAGGTAAGTGCACCCGTGTCGTGCAGTGCTCACAGAGGTCAGAAGAGGCTGTAGGATGCCCTGGGACTGGAGTTAAGGACAGTTGTTAGCTGCCATGTGGGTGCTGGGATTCGAACCTGGGTCTTCTGCAAGAACAACCAGTGTTCTTAACCACTGAGCCATCTCTCTAGCCCAAGAGGCTTCCTTATATAGGCATTATTGATTAAATCACTGGCCATTTGTTGTGATCAACTTAACCTTCAGTCCTTCTCTCTTCTTCCACATTTGGAGAGGAACTGAGAAGTCCCAGGTTTAATGATGCTTGGCCTTTCTTGTGACCAGCCCTGTATCATAAACCTTGCCATCAACAGTTATTTCATTGGCATACACAAGGCAGATTCCAAGGATTTTAGGAGCTGTAGATAAGGAAACCAAACCAAATATATATTCCACAGTGCCACAGGAATTTAACTCACTAGGTTTGTTTTTGTTTTTATTTTTGTTTTTTAAGAGTTAAATATGTGAATGTCTGACACTTAGAAAGTATTCAGGGCTTTGGATGTAGCTCAGTGATAGAGTGTTTGCATAGCACGCACAAGGCCTTGGATCTCCTGATCTCTCTCTCTCTCTCACACATACATACATACATACATACATACATACAAAGTATTCAAGTCTTATCACCTGCTGGAAACTATGGAGTTTTCCCCACAAACTTTAAGGTTTGTAAAAAGGGAAAGTGTAAACTTTCCAATAAAACTACATGTAACTTTTAATACTAGGGCACCTAATATTACTTAATGAAAAAGTCCCTGGAGTTTTAAGAGTAAGACCTACACACTGTAAACCAGTTCGTTACTACAGAAGCTTCCAGTGTCTTCCTGAAACAAATGAATGAAAATAACCTTCAGAAAGAGCTAAAAACCAAAAGTCCCACGTAAAACAAACGAAAATAGCAATTCGCTTTAACTTGAGGATTTGGGCCTAGTTAGCCCCTTCCGGTTCTGACCATCTCTATCTATAGCCAGAGAGTACGTACAAAATTCCTCAACTTCCACCTCGGCAAAGGCGCCCCAGCCCGGCAGACGAGGACCCCGTCAGGGCTGCCCGCCGGTTACCTCGCAGTTGAACTCCATCTCGGCGTCCATGGTGACGATCCGCACGGTGAAGGTCTTGGGCTGTTTCCTCTTGAGCGAGCTGAAGCTCATGCGGGAAGCGATGGCTCCGGCCATAGCGCGGGGTTCAGGCCTGGGAGTTTCGTACCTAGGCCTCACTATGGACCTACTAGCCCCCCTGGAGGAGCTGCGCAGGCCTCAGGGCCACCATGGTGGCCGGCGGGCCGGCCCAAGAGAGATTTAGGCTGAGAGGGTCCCCAGCGGCCAGCATGGGCCGTGAGGACCCCGCCTTGAGAGCGGAAAGAGAGTGAAGGGACAGTCCCAGACGCAGCAAAGGGCCACAGGGTGGACGCGGCCCAGTGCTCCCGGCCTCGGGCTGGCCACGATCCGGGCGCCCCTTCACAGGAATCCTAGGCACCCGCGGCCCGCGCGCGCTGCACCTCTCAGCGGCCGATCCGGGTGGCGGGGCCGCGCTGGAGTCAGGCACGCACACGCGCGCGCGTGGCTGTCATGGTTTCCGCCCAGCGCGCCCTCAGGAAGCGTCCTCCACTCTTCCCTCCCACCCCGTCTGCAACTCCCTGGTTCGGCCCGCCCTCAGGCCTTCCCGAACGCTACACACACTGCGCAACGCAACTGATGGCCAATTTTCAGACGCTGATTGGCCAAAAATTCCAGGAGAGGCCGGGACTTTTTCTGTGTTCCGCCTCCTTTAGGGCGGCTCAACCAATAGAAAGTCCCACCGTGCCGGGAGGAGCGGGCCTGTGTTCGGCGTTGAGTGGCTATGGCGACCGTCATTCCGAATGCTTTTGTTTTAAAGACTACGCCTATTTTAGCAAGTCTGGCTGAAAAGCCACAGCCCTGCGCGCCTTTCCCGGGAAACCTGGAGTGGTTCTTTCCCGATCTGTGAAGGACGGTCCTTAGGCCAAAATAGTGCTGCGCCCAGGGCATTGATCGTGTTTCTCGGACATCCGATGGATGTGCCTTTTGGCACTTAATTAATCATACTGACCTCTGTTTCTCAAGGTTTTTAGGTTTTTCTTTTTTTTTTGAGACAGGGTCTCCCTGTAGCCCCAGCTGTCCTGGAACTCACTATGTAGACCAGGGACCTTGAACTCACAGAGATCCGCCTGCCTCTGCCACCCGAGTGCTGGGATTAAAGACTTGGGTCACCACACCCAGCTAGATTTTTTTTTTTTTTTTTTTTTTCCGAGATGGCATTTTTCTGTGTTATTCAGGCCCTGGAACCCCTGGTCTTAAGCTTTCCTCAGCCTCCTGAATCTCTTAAACTACAGCCACAGGCCTGGCTCAAATTCTTTTTTTTTTTTTTTTTTTTTTTTTTTCTCTTTTTGCGGCAGGGTCTCTCTGTAGCCCCAGCTGACCTGGAACTCACTATGTAGACCAGGCTAGCCTGGATCTCAGAGATCCCCTTGCCTCTGCTGATATAAAAGGTGTGTACCGCCATGCCTTGCTTGGCTTTTTTTTGTTGTTAGCATAGCAACAGAAAGCAAACTAGAGAAGAGTGTCTGCTCTTTGCTAAGTGACTCACTATGAGTTTGTTTTATATTTTCTAATGATTATACTGATGTTGTATTTTTGTTTTTGTTTTCTTTGTTTTTAGAAACATCATGGCCTAGCACCAACAAGCCCCTGCTTCAGTTTCCCAAGTAGCTAAAATGTTCAGCTCTTTGCTTTTGGAATGGGGTGGAGAAAGAAGCCACATAAACTAAGGGTTCTTCCTTACTTGCAGCCTGAGGCTCAGGGAGGTGATCTGACCCGTTTAAACATGCCCGACCCTGGTGATCTTTACATGGGGAGAATGTCTTTCCAAGGTGTCACTCTGAGGCACTGAGTTTGAATGAAAGCAAGGCACAAGGAATAACTTCTACATGAAAAACAGTAGTTAAGAATCATTGTTGGAAATACAGTAGTCCCTTGGTCCTTGGTTAATTGTGATCTGAAAATGTTAAATGGGAAATTCCAGAAATAATTTGTAAGTTTTAAACTGCATATGTGAGTAGTGTGATGACTCTTGCCTTGTCCTATCCTGCCCTACCTTGCCTAGAAGGTGAATCATTCCTTTGTTTGGCTTAACCCATGTTCCTGGCTCTGGGTCTTTCAAGGACGGCATGCTTCTGGTGGAAAAGGACCTTGTCTATAGAAGACACTGAAAATGCCACCAGCTTTTTTTTGGACTTTTTGAGACAGGGTCTCCCCTGTCACTCCAGCTGTCCTGAAACATTCTATGTAGACGAGGCTGGCCTCCAATTCACAAAGATCCACCTGCTTCTGCCTCCTAAACGCTGGAATCAAAGGCATGTACCACCAAACCCTGCTTTTTTTTTTTTTTTTTTTTTTTTTTTTGCAGGGTCTCACTGTTTTAGCCCAGACTGGCCTTGAATTTGAGATCTTCCTACCTCAGCTTCCGGAATGCTGGGATTATAAGGCATTTACCACCCATTAACTGGCTGATATTTTGAATGTTGGACTGAAATTCTGTATTAGTTTTCTGGGTCACTATAACAAAGCATAATAAAATGAGTGGCTTAGAAAAAAAAATGGAGGGGCTAGAGAGATGGCTCAGAGTAGCACTGGCTTCTCTTGCAGAGGACCCAGGTTCGATTTCCAGCACCCACATGGTGGCTAACATAACTCCAGTTCCAGGGGAATCTGATGCCCTCTTCTGTCCTTTGCGGGCACTACATGACATGGGTGCACTTCCAGGCAATACATGAATGTACAGGCAATACATTCATACATATAACATTTTTAAAATAAATAAATAAGCAGGGCGTGGTGGCACACACCTTTAATCCCAGAGTCAGAGGCAGGTGGATCTCTGTGAGTTCAAGGCCAGCCTGGTCTACATAGTGAGTTCCAGGACATTTAAATAGTCATACAATATGTGTATGACTGCACATATTTTAAAAAGAAAAAAGGAAATTTCAGGCTGTAGTAGTGACTCAGTGGGTAAAGTCCTTGCTGTGCAAACATAAGGATCTGAGTTTGAATCTTCAGAGCCCGCATAAAAGCCAGGTACAGCAGCACAGGAACACAAGGCAAAGATAGGAGAATCCCAGGAAGCTTGAGAGCCAGCTAGCCTGAAGCATCAAACATGAAAACACAAAAAGATGAAAAGGGGGGGAGAGAAGGAGGGAGAAGGGGAGAGAGGGAAGGAGGAAGGAGGAAGGGAAGGTGGAGGTCAAAAGAGGGCATCGGATACCCTGGAACTGGAAGGGAGAGAGGAAATTTCTTAGTTTCTTGCCCACAGCTCTGGAGGCCGTAGGTCTGAGATCAAGGTGTCACAGGGTTTCATTCCCTCTGAAGCCTACAGGGGAAGAACCATCCTGGCCTCGTCCAGCTTCTAGTAGTCGCAGACATTGCTTGGCTTGTGGCAGTGGGTCTCCAGCCTTTGGAAGGCCTTCTCCCCAGATGTCTTCACAACATTTGTACTTGTCTGTCTTTGTCAAATTCCTCCTTTTTATTAGAACACTACTCAAATAGCATCAGGGTTCATTCCAACAACATCATTTCCATTCAATTATCTCTTTTTTTAAAAGAATATTTTATTTATTATTAGTGTGTACATATAATGTGTGTATGCATGTCTCAGCACCTGTACGCAGGTCAGAAGGTAATTTTATTTCTTTTTTTTTTTTTTTGGTTTTTTTGAGACAGGGTCTCCCTGTAGCCCCAGCTGTCCTGGAACTCACAGGCTGGCCTTGAACTCACAGAGATCCACCTGCCGCTTCCTCTAGAGTGCTGGGATTAAAGGCATGTGCCACCACACCCAGCTTATTTCTATTTTTTAAATATTTTATTTATTATTTTTATTTTATGTGTATGAGTGTTATGCCTGTATGTAGGTAAGTACACCTGTGTCGTGCAATGCCCTCCGAGGACAGAAGAGGCTGTCAGATCCCCTGGAAGTGGAGTTATGGACAGTTGTTTGCAGCCATGTGGGTGCTGGGATCTGAACCCGGGTCTTCTGCAAGAACAATCAGTGTTCTTTTTTTTTTTTTTTTTTTTGGTCTTTTTGAGACAGGGTCTCTCTGTAGCCCCAGCTGTCCTGGAACTCACTATGTAGACCAGGCTGGCCTTGAACTCACAGAGATCTACCTGCCTCTGCCTCTCAAGGGCTGGAATTAAGGGCATGCACCAACACACCCGGCTACTTATTATTTTTATTTTTTATGAGAAGACCCGTATTGCCTGAATGTATGTAAGTGCATCCACTTCATGTAATGCCTGTGGAGGTCAAAAGAGGGTGTCAGATAGCCTGAAACTGGAGTTATGGATGGTTGTTAGTTGCCATGTGGGTGCTGGGACTCAAACCAGGGTCCTCTGCAAAAGCAGCCAGTGCTCTTAGCCTCTGAGACATCTCTTTAGCCCCTCCCCTTCTTTTTTAAAAATAAGGTTTAACTCTATAGCCAGGCTGTTCAGGAACTCATGATTTATCCCAGGCTGACCTTGGGGCAAATCTGGCTCAGTCTCCCAATAATTTGGTTACCTCTATTTAAAACCCTAAGTTCAGGGGCTGGAGAGGTGGCTCAGCAGTTAAGAACACTGATTGTTCTTGCAGAAGACCCAGGTTTGAATTCCAGCACCCACATGGCAGCTAACAACTGTCGGTAACTCCAGTCCCAGGGGATCTGACAGCCTCTTCTGACCTCCGCGGGCATTGCACAACACAGGTGTACTTACCTACACGCAGGCAATACACACATACACATAAAATAAAAATAATAAATAAAACTTTAAAAAAAACAAAACAATTTCAATAGCCAGGTATGGTGATACATGCCTGTAGGACTGAAGCAGGAGGATCATGAGTTTGAGGCCAATCTGGGCTACATGACAAGACCCTATCTTATTTCAAACAAACAAAAACTGAGCTGGTGGTAGCACACACTTTTAGTCCAGGACTAGGGAGACAGAGGCAGGTGGATCTCTGAGAAATCAAGACCAGCCTGGTCTACATATCAAGTTTTAGGCCAGTTGGGGCAACAGGGAGACCCTGTCTCTAAAAACCAAACCAAACCAAAACAACAACAAGACCAAAAACCAAAACCCAAAACAAAAAGGATTGGTAAAATGGTTCAGCAGGCAACACTGCTTGATACATCAGCTTGACTGCCTGAATTTGATTCCCAGAACCCACAGTGGAAGGAGAGAGCTGACTACTGATTCCTCTCACTCCCAAATGAATGCCATGGCACATGTACATCTACACACATACATCACACACACAACACACAAACAATAAATGAAATAAACAATATTTCCAAATAAGGTCACATTTCATGGTACTGGGTGTTAAGATATCCATAGCTCTTTTTGTAAACACATAACTCAACCCTTATGATTTATCCTTTTTAGAAGTGTGTTTCAGGACTGGAGGGATAAGTCAGTCATTAAAGGCTCAGGCTAACAACCAAAAAAATAGAAGTGGGCTTCGGTAGCCATATTTATGCCAGGATAGCTGGGCACCCTGGGGAAATTATATTTAACAAGGAAGCTTCCTGTAAACTTCACATGACTCAAAACTTTGCATTTCAAGACAT